CATGAATAATCTTAGTTGTCTTCATTGTTTTACTGAAGTTATTTCCTTTATAATAAACTAACTTTTGTTTACAGAGCTTACAATATCGACTTCATTCTTTTAGCTGGGTACTTAAAGCTTATTCCTACTGAGCTGGTCCAAGCATTTCCAAGATCAATATTTAATATTCATCCGTCACTTCTTCCATCTTTTGGAGGCAAAGGCTACTATGGCATAAAGGTGCATAAAGCAGTCATAGCTTCTGGAGCTAGGTGCGTATTGTGTTTGCTATCAAAATGGAATTATTCTTGTTAATCAAGTAGATCGCTTCTCCTTCCTCATCATTGCACATTAGATAGTTGCTAAACATAAAATAGTACCACCGTTCAGCTTGTGAATTGCAAATTGAGTGCTTAGTTGAAGACTTAAATACTCAATGTGAGTCTATAGTTAATACCAACAAATATCATGTCAGAGAAACATGATCTAGGAACATTTTTTAGATCATATCCGATAATGTTGAGGATTATGATTCTTCAAGAAAACCATTTCTGTTTTGCTGGTTTTTACAATCAAGATTTCTAGTCAGATTTTGAGTTGAAAGTCCTTACTCCATTATCTCTGAATTCCCATAAATTGTAATAAACTAAAGACAGTTCCTATCATCATTTGAGCAAGAATTTGTGATTAATTGTTTACTTGACTTTTTCATGACGATATTGTTACCTGGGACTTAGTTTCTGCATAATTTCAGTTTATCATGTCCACCCTTCAAAAATATTAAGCACCTAACCTTGATTTTAGTAGCTGCATTTGGGACAGGTTTAGTTTTTTCCCGTCCAATGCTTTGGATCCTCATTTTAGCTTCAAACACAAGTAATTCGCTTTTTCTGGCTGTTATTTGCTATCTGTAGGTATTCAGGTCCAACGATCCATTATGTCGATGAGCATTATGACACTGGACGTATTCTTGCTCAAGGGGTCGTGCCTGTGCTGGCTAATGACACTGCAGAAACACTTGCAGCAAGGGTTCTTCAGGAGGTCATAATTTCTTTTTAACATTTCTTGTTATGAGTGTATTATTGTTGTCGCCATCAATTTTGAATCTTTGTGGTACATGTTTAAAGTAAACCTCTAGGTCTTCCCCATGTTTCTGATCATTACCTTACGTTCCACTATCAGTCCTGCAAAAACATGTATGGTTTCAGGAAAAGGGATCCCTGCAAAAACATGTTGTTAAACCGGGGCGAATAAGTCAACAAGAAGTTCCCTTGGAACAACTCGATGAATTTAGTTTTGATTGTTTTAGGAGGCCTTTGTGACTAGATCGAACCTCTAATTTTTATTGTATGATGATTTTTTGGCTGCAAGTTCTTTTCAATCTATGTATCTATTCAATAAATCAGTAGCATTATTGTTTATGTACATATTGTCTCAGATTTGCAACTCGTGTTACCTATCTCTCTATCTTTTTTCCCTATCCGTTAGTGTTCCCTGAAGACGAGCAATATCAACGCTCCCCCCTTTTAGGTTATCTCGTGCATCAATGTCCCTATCAAAGTGTTTATGTCCCATCGAATCCAACTCTTGTGTTGTTATTGCTTGTCCATTCCTCTCTTTTTTCGCTGCAATCTTTACACTAACATTCTTCGTTTAACAGGAGCATAAACTTTACGTAGAAGTAGCTGCAGCATTATGTGAAGAGAGAATTGTGTGGCGTGAAGACGGTGTCCCTCTCATCCAGAGCAAAGAAGATCCCAATCATTACAAGTAGAAACAAAGCCAGAGGTTAGCAACTCCGCGGCTAGAAGTATTCGTTACTGAGCTCTGTGTTGACACTAACATAGTTTTGGTACATATGCCTCGTGGGAGGCGTACCAACGTCCTTATTTGTTCAATTTACCATAGAAAATTCAACATATGTAGATGAATATTGTATGTCTATGACTACAAGTTTTGTACCAATATGTTTTGACAACTTTTTATGTTTTCATCTATGAAAGAAGTAGCTTGTTGTTTCTCAACATTGCTGGGTATTTGCCAAAATCATATACAAATACTTTTGAGACAATACATTTTGCTTACTATCACACATGAAAAATATAGGCAAAAGAGCTATTATACTCCTCAATTTTGCAATTAAGACCTCTTATTACCAAAGTGGCTATGATTACTCTTACCATTACACAAATGACTCGCATATAGCCTTATTATAACACAAATGACTAAAATATACCGTTAAATTGTTACACAAATGACTTGATATACATTTACCGTTACACAAATAACCCAAATATATCCTTTCCGTCCAATGAAAGTGATTTTTATTGAGTTTTTTTTTTAATGTAATGGTAGAGGTATATGTAGCCACTTTTGTAACAAGTGATATATCAACTCTAAAATGTAAAATTGAGGAGTATATTAGATCCTTTATAAAATGATATATAACTTAGGGATAATTGTATAGAATGACAAACTAATAATATGAAATAAATATAATAGCTATCGTTTGAATTATTTGTGTTCCATAACAAACTGTTTGTCAGTCCCTCTCTCCCTCGTATTCTCGCTCGCTTGTCTCTCTCGCTTTATACAATAGAATTGTATAAATTGTGTTTCTAATTGTATAAAGCGAGAGAAATATATATATATATATATATATATATATATATATATATATATATATATATACACACACACACACACACACATGCAATCTCCATCTTATACACTTGTAATTATACAATAAAAGTATTTCCCTGTCCAAGTCTCTTTTGTTTTTCTCTCATTCTCGTTTTATGCAAATTCAAATTGTATATAATTTCTCTCTTTCTAGTTTTATACAATTCGACTCAATTGTATATTCCATGTCAAGTCTCTTTTGCCCTTCTCCCTTTCTCGTTTTATACAAATTCAAACTGTATATAATCGTCCTATACATTGATAATTATACAATTCGTTTTATATACTTCGTTTTATACACTTTTTTTTTATACAATTCTCTGCCCAAGACTCTTTCTCATTTTATACACTTCGTTTTATACAGTTCTCTTGAATTGTATATTTTTAGCGAATTATACATATATCTATTTGCTATGGGGATCAATTATATAAACTTTGCTACAGCATACAAATACGAATTATATGTTTGTTATATATAAAAGTTGCCCAACTTATCAAATCTAATATGGTCCATATAAGATATTGGGCTCTTAGTCCATATAAGCCCACATAAACAGCCCAAAATCTCTATCACTCTTAGGAACCCTCTCTAACTCCATATATAAATCAAGCTTCTAGGGTTAGGGTTTCATTGAATCAGCAAACTGCAAAGAAGAAACTTCAGCAATGGCCGCCAAGAAGACTGCCCGGAATCCGGAGCTGATTCGTGGAGTGGGAAAATTTTCCCGTTCCAAGATGTACCACAAGAAGGGTCTTTGGGCCATTAAGAAGAAGAACGGCGGCGCTTTACCCGTTCACTCAAAAAAGCCCGCCGTAGCTCCGGTGGCTGAGAAAGCCCCAAAATTCTACCCCGCCGATGACGTGAAGAAACCCCTTGTGAACAAACACAAACCAAAACCCACTAAGCTTAGGTCAAGTATTACACCTGGTACTGTTTTGATTATCCTTGCTGGAAGGTTTAAGGGTAAAAGAGTTGTGTTTTTGAAGCAGCTTGTATCTGGTTTGCTTCTCGTTACTGGTCCATTTAAGTTCAATGGAGTTCCTTTGAGGCGTGTGAATCAAGCTTATGTTATTGGTACCTCAACAAAGGTGGATATTTCTGGAGTGAATGTTGATAAGATTGATGATAAGTACTTTGCTAAACAAGTTGAGAAGAAGCAGAAGAAGGGAGAAGGAGAGTTTTTTGAAGAAAAGAAAGAGGTTTGCTTTCCTGTTTTTGCTCATTTTCTGTTAATAATTGAATTTGTTCTCCATTTGGTGGTTAAAGATTGGATCTTTGTAGTTAGTAAATGCTTATGGATTGGATCTTTTGCTAATTCTATGCTTGCAAGATTAGATCTTTTTGTTTATTTTGTGATTAGGCACTACATTATTGTGTCTTGTGAAATGCTATGATCTCTTATGCTGATCTTATGTGAATATAAATAAAGAAACATGGTTAGTGAGTATTCATAGATAATAATTATTGAAAATGAAAAGCAAATTCCATTGACATTGTAATTTGCTGAGGTATTTTCTTGTTCCCCGAGCTGGCGATGGTAATATTGTAATTTGTTTGAATAACGAACTTTGGTTTGAAGAGAAATGGTTAGTGACATTCATAGGTAAGTTGTCTCATTTTTTGATGAGAAAGCTAAGAATGAAAATGAGCATTGACATTGACAATCGTACTACTGAAACTCGACGTGCCCTGTACATTTAACATTGACAATTGGATTATTAAGAACATGCTTGGACATGAATAACTCAATTTGGTTACAGAGAAACATAGTAAGTATTCTTAGGCAAGATTTTGTGTTTTGTTCGTGTGAATTGAAAACTAGCAAATTTCATGTTTCTGTAATTCTATAGTATTGAACTTGTGTTAACATGAATGATGTACTTTGATGTTCAACGGTTTGATCTTTTTCTATTTGGTAATTCTGTAGGAGAAGAATGTGCTTCCTCAGGAGAAGAAGGATGAACAGAAGGCTGTTGATGCAGCATTGATCAAGGCTATCGAGGCTGTTCCTGAATTGAAGGGTTACTTGTCTGCAAGGTTCTCGCTCAAGTCGGGCATGAAACCCCATGAGCTTGTCTTTTAGACCAGATAATTAAACTACTTTTGATGAAATTGATTTTGTTAGATCCATTTTGTTTTATGTTCTGTTTTGAAACTGCGTTTAGTCTTTGTATTGAAGATTTTGTTGGTTATAAACATCTTAAGTTGAAATATGCAATATGAGATTTGCTCCTTTTTTGTCCTAGTATTTTCTTGATAGACTCCATGGTTTGTTAGCTGAAAGCTACATGTACCAAGAGAAGGGCGAAATTGAGTATCCTGATCTTGACTGCCATTGCGGCTGTAGCAATACAAATAGATTATTGTCTGAGAAGTTTACTGGCCGGTTGTTGTTCTTTGTCAGCATATCTGCTTACCGAACTTCTTACATATTGCATGATATTTTGTGAATCAGTTCTTCTACGTCTAGTGTCGTTTGCTGTTGTTTATTGAAGTTTGTACTTATTGCATGATAGTTGTGAGTATGTTGTATTCTGTGTACATGTTTGGCTGTTGAATGAGAAGGGGAGAAGATGGAAATGGCTTAGAATTTAGCCTTTCTAAGAGACCCTTGTCTTAAATCAATTCATCTATGCGCTTTCCAGGCTCGCTGCCTTGGTTCCCGGCAGTTTGCATATATGGGTGCTTACAACAAAAAGAACTATACAGTTTTTCGCCTTTCTGTAGTTCTTCAGTAGTATGACTTGTGTATCCATGAAGTTAATGTAAACAAGCTCCCTTTTAACTTGTTTGTACACTAATCTTTTCACCAATTGAACACTTTAATACATGTTGAACTTATGTTCAATGAGCTCTTTATATATGTGTTAAGTTAATATCTATTGAACACTAGTTTATGATTGCTGTATTGTGAGCATGTTATTAAGTAGATGTGTTCAATTAAGATCAGTAATTTTACTCTAATAATCAAAGGTGGTCTCCATAAATTCTAAGTTAAATATACTTGTCAAATCAATCAGACTTATTTTGTTATCTATGCTTTATTATATGCCTCTATAAACCTACTACGTGAGATTATATTGAGTATGTGTAGGGTCCGTTTGATTAGAATTCGAAAATATTATGGTCCTAGATTAACTTGGATAATGTATGAAACCTATGAGATATATTATTCGAATTATGGTATGGTGAAAATGTTTCACCTATTTGATTTATTTATCTTGGTGCACGGCTTAAACTAAAATTTAATCAACTTTCACTATAACAAAAGCACATTTATACACATTAATTTCAGAGATGACTCGACAATGTTAGAAAAAAAGACATGTGCTTTAAGCCTTCAAATTTGAGTGTATTACTCTTAATAATAATAGGTTATGCGTCGTTATTTTTTTAATAAATATTGAATACTATTTGTAAAAAAAGTTAACTTTTCATGAAATGAAAGAAATATTTGAAGAAATTTGACATATTTGGAGTATTATATTTCATGAAAAATAATTTAAAAATTAGAATAAGAATGGTTATCATCAATTGAAAACTAGAAGAAATTGATTATATAAAAGTTATTAACGATTTAAGTTTAAGCTCCCTTTATTTTAGACCACTAATATGTTTGAGCCGTCCTTAACACTAATAAAGATGATTAAATTTTTTATCAACATTAGTTAATTGCATTAAATCTAATATTGCTAAAGGTTTTAGGAACTATACAAAGAGTGCACATATATATTCAATAACAATTAAACTATTACCGTTAATAAATTACTGCAAAAGATAATTTTTTATGTCCTGTTTCAACTATATATACCATGCTTACTATGTATCATGTTAGAAAAATGATATTTTAATAAGTAATTACCATGCCTGCTTTGTAGTTTATGGCAGTAATAATTACTCTTACCGTTTTAAAAGGATGATATGGAGTTTAAGAAAAAAAATATTTTTTTTTTAATTTTATAATTTTAAATTAAAGTTATGTCAAATGTATCGAAATGCTTTTTATTCCTATGATCTTAAACATGTCATGTGAAAAGTTAAATTCAAAATATTGCCACAAAAAAAAAGTCATTTATTTTTAAACAAATTAAAAAAGAACAGGGTCATTATTTTGGAAACGATATTTTAAACAAAGGAAGTAGTAAATGATATGCTCAAAATTCAAAAAGGTAAAATAAATAATAGAAATAATAGTAACATACATATTTTTCTGAAATATTCTCCATTACTTGATAAACACATAAAATTTATACAAATTGCTATGCAATATAGTACTTACTAAAATCTAAAATCTTCAACCGCAACTACTTTGGAGAAATATAATTTTTTCCTCCACCAATAAACTATATGATTTCCTTTCCAAACCCACCAAAAATGATGCTAATATATATTGCCTCCACAAGAATAACTTTCAAATTCTTAACAAATTAAATTTATACTTTTCACCAAATATCTGTCATTCGCATTGAAATCTAACTAAATCTATCATTTTCTAAGGAACACAATGAATTCAGATTCAGAATTTGAACTCGAAATCTTTGATCAACTCCACCATGACCTATATCTGTTCATGATATTATCCATTCAAAGCGGCAGCCAAATTTCCAATTTTAATGCCACTATTAGAAGCAACAACATTCTCTCTACAATAGAAAGAAATTGCTTGCTTAGGCACAAATCCAACATTTCTCTTCTTTGAAGATGAATCAAAACTATTCTTTTGATAATCTTTTTGTTCATTTGTTGTTCTCTTATAAGATCCAAACCACTTAGCTTCCATATAAGCCAGTCTTCTCCATGGAGCCACATAAATATTCATTTTCTTCATAGATCTCTTCATGGCTCTACTCATAATTCTCACCACTTGCTTCAACTCTTCCACTTTTCCAACAAAAACGTGAGGGAAATTTTCCAGCAACGAGGTGTAGCAAGGCGTTGCTCGAGCAATTTCAAATTCTTCCACTAATGAAACCTCGATTATGTAACGAGTAACACCAATATTAACATCTATATACTCGTAACTTCCTGAAGTACGATTAACAGCTTTCTCCCATTTTAATTTGCACAATCCTATAAAATTGAATTAGCCAAAAAAAAAAAAAAAATTAGAACTCATATACATTAATACTGCAACAACTAACAAGTAGTTTGTTTAGCTATAGAATTTACGAAAAAAGTGCTTACCAGCATCGAATCCCTGATCACGCAATCGAGTCATCAACCATCGTTTAAACTCCGGTGAGCTTGCTTCTTCAGCAAGCAAAGCATTTTCCACAGCATTAATAACATTTTTCTTCAAATCATCACCGGAATTTCCATCGGGATCCAACAGATTCCTTAAATTCTCCTTAATCTCCGATTCGTCAAAGCAATTAGTTTCAACATTTCCATCAATCTCTTCCAATTTCTCATTAACAGTAATTACCTCCCCTTCTAGAAACGAATTCACAAGTTGCGATAAATTCGCCAAGCTCTCAGGTGGTGGAGAGTGTTCACTGCCGCTGCTCTCGCAGATCCGAGTTTTCACCACCTCATCAAACGCTTCGGCTACTCTCTTAAACTTCACCGGTACAATTCTGGCCATCTTTTCCGATCTCAATTTCTTATTCTTATTCGAATTTTATAGACGAATCGAATATTTATGATTCAGTTATGTCGCAATCACGAAGAAAAAATGTTCACAGAGAAGAAATCAGTTGGAGTTTTTATTTTTGCTTAGAGTAAAGATGAAGACATTATGTTGATAAAGTTAAACATATATATATAAGTAATTTTTTTAATGTGTATTTTTTTAGTGAATTTTACACAGAAGTTTGGGTTATAGTGAATAATACAATGAATGTAGACGTAATTTATGAATAAGTTCGTTATTTAGCTAAGTTTATTTTTCATGTGAGGAATACTCCAATAAAATATATTTTGTACTGAGTGTTGAAATTAAACTTTTTTCCGCATAAAAATAAAATATTCCTCAAAGGCACTTGGTTTTTAGTTTTGTAGTTTTTGTCAGAGAGCATTTTAACAAAGTTACGTTAATGCAAATATAATTTAGTCAGAGCTTTTATTATCGAGTGTTTTAACAGAAATCAAATTTTGATATGGCAATAACAAAAAATTACAAAAACATAGAGTATATGGACTAATAATATACATGGAGAACTCTAAAATCTTAAATTCTCATGATTTGAAAGCGCAAAAAATAATGTCAATCGTGATGGAAGAATAATTATTGATTACCGAGATTGTTTCAGATGGACACATCATGTTTGCGGCTGATTGAAGTTTATCAAAAAAAAAATTCAAAATCGATGGATTAACGTAGAAAATTTTAAAATCTTGAGTTTCTCTATTATCTATTATAAACATGAAAAGTCAAAAGAACGTCGTGAGCCATGTCGAAACAATGAGTATTGATTATCAAAATGTTCAAATGTACATACTACTAAATTTGAAACATATCGAAATCTATCAAAAAAAATTGTGAAAAATCTATGGTTTAATACACACTAAAAATTTTAAAAATCCTCAATTCCTTTGTTATAATCCTAAAATGCCAAAAAGTGTTGCCATTCACAATAGAGCATAAGTATTAATAACTATAATTGTTTCTATTGGACACATCGAGTTTGACAAAATAAAAGTAAAATTGACTAACTTTTTTTCTCAAAAAAGATAGTTTTGTGATTCTATGTGATAGTTATTATATTGAGAAAATCGATTTTTCATTAAAAATATTTTACTGAATTTTGTGTAATAAATAAAAGTTGAGTGGTCATTCGTAAAATTGGCCAAACATATATTTATCATGATATTGATTTATGAGCTAAAATTTAGTCATCATTTCAAACATTTATTTAACTAAATCAAAATGCGGTTTATTTCCTTTAACTAATTTCTTGAATTGAACATATACGTATAATAAATTGATACGAATATTATGAGCTATCTTTTGTAATAAAATAAGTTTTTTGTTAAAATTTTCTTCTTGTTTTCTTTTATTTTGATCAGACCTCCGAAAAGAAAGAAATAAGAGGATGATGTAGAAAATGTGATAAAAAAAATTTATAATAAAACTCGATTGAATCAATTTATCTTTATGTATAAGAATTTAAAAAATTACAAATCTCAACCATTTCTTTTATATTGCAATCTTTTAGCTTATTATATGATGATTTTTGAGCTTTTCATAAATAGAAAAATAGACTAGAAACAATATTTACTTATGTCTATATATGATAATAATCAAAGTCCACTTTACTCACATGTATCATGTACATAAACATTTTTCTTTTTTGCTTTTGCCATAAAGTATATGTCAAGTAATAGTAGTATATTTTTGACTATTTAGTATTCATGAGAATGATAAAAAAATGACACCATAGATATACATAGATGTTTTCACTATTTAGTCAAGACTGAGATGGTTAATGATGACTTAAAAAGAGACCAAGTTGAATATATTTTCTTTGTTACTATAATATAATTTGTTAATTTGTGAATTTCATTAAAACTTTTCAATGAAACTATGGATGAGTCCGGAGCCTAAAGGGTATAAAACATTAACAAAAATTTTAAAACGGTATAAAAAAATTTACATTAATTAAAACGGTAAAATTGCTGGAACAACAACGATTTTCTACGCCGGAAAAAGCAAAATCGTTGCTACTGCAGCAATTTTGTAAAATGTGATTTTTTTAGGCAGCAACTTTCATTTTTTTTAAAAAAAAAAGAAAATTTAAGAAAATCGCTGGCACACATCTTCATTTGATTTTGCTTTTTCTGGCGGAAGAAATCGCTATCATTCCTTTGTCGTTTTGGTTAATATAAAATTTTATATACCGTTTTGAAATTTTTGTTAGTATTTTATAACCTTTAGGCTCCGGACTCATCAATCAGGGATGGAGTAGACGATAATTTACGGATTCGATCAAATTCACTAGGATTATTTCGAATTTTGAATATAGGTGTAAAAGTTTACTAAATCTACATATAAATTTTAAATATAAAACTGAATTATTAATTTTAATTAAAATTATTGATGTTATTAGAACTAAATATAGCATTTTCAACACTTTTTCGTTAAAAAATGACTAAATATTTTTTCCGTATTAAATTATTATGTAGAGTATTATTTAATCATGAAAATATGGATAAATTTTAATTTATCCAATTCATTTTTATCCGTATGAAATATGAGGGATTGAATTATTATCTATTTATACTGACTTATTTTCTATCCGCACTAATTTGACTCAATCCGTTCAATTGCCACCGCACGAGTAAGCATAGATGCGGAAAGTTGAAGACGTAATGCTTGGACTGTACTAAAATGGAAATTAATTTATCTTTTTCTTTCAAATAATTTTTGTTATACTAATATTGGACTAGTTCAATGAACATGAAATTATGTCTACATACATTGAATATCAAGTAATATAGTGATAAATTCAAACTCTTTTCTATATATATAATACCTATATAATGAAAAAATAATAATATACGTCAAATAAACAAACAAACATTTATGATTGCATGTGACCTAATATAAGGATAAGTGAATGTCAAGGGATACATAACATAAGGCGGGTAATATTAAATAAGTCGAGAATTATGAGACTTTAGCTAGGTTTAAATTTACATGATTGAGATGATCTATTATGTGTATTTATCATTATGTTTTATGACTTATGTTGACGGACCGAAGACGGTAAATTAGACAGAGTTCGTAATAGGGAATGTCGTGCTATTTTGATAGATAGAGAAGTTATGTTGACACTGGCTCAAGAAAAACGAAAATACAATATTTATGAAGAAATAAGCGGTAAGAATAGGAATTTGATTATTCACAAGTTGTTGCTCTTCGTAAAAATAATCATGCCTAAGTCTAGGTAGATGATGCCCTATTAAATCAAGAAAACAATGATGGCGATATCTACAAAAGACTATATATGTGTGGCATGAAATCTTTAAAATATAATAATGTATTTTTAAAGAATTCGATGGAAAAACTAGCAAAACTCAAGTTATGTCCAAATACTTGTTCCCACCTTAGCTAACTCGGCTCTCCAAGGCAATAGACACAGCTTTTTTGGTTCAAAAGTGTTGTGTTCAACTTATACCTCTTCGATTGGAATTTGTATTGCAATATCTCCGTGAAATATATTACAATTTTGAATAAACTATTCAACTTTTAATAAAGTTTTTGTGATAATATCCAAGATATGTATTGTAAATTCATGGCAAACATCTTATTAATTTGAAGTATGCACTATTCAAGATATTTTACTAATCTTTAGTTACAAATAATGAACCACAGCCTCAATTCAATCAACTAAAATTGAAAAAGAAAACAACATGGATTCATACACCAAACAACACCAATAATAAGTAAAACGCCTAAGAGTTTTTAAAAGATCCAATCAAAATAAGATTTAAAATTTCTTTACAAATAGATTCAGAAGTAATATATGTGTCAAGTAATGTTATTATCATGTTAAGTGTTTTGTTTATAAAAAGTTGAAGAGATAATTAATGGACCAAATTAGAACACAGATTTCATGAAAATTAGTGAAAAAGTTTTAGAGAATGTCTTTATTTCAAATCAATAAACAATGAGGACCTAAGAAAGGCTTTCTTCAAAATCATTTTCGATATCCCATAAATTAATGATTATGTTGATGACAGACACATTATAACGGCAAATAGGACAAAATAGTGAATCTTGTATTTTGATGCAATATGTATGAAACATATCTGAAAAGGCATGCACACGATCTTTTCACCCTCCAATGGTTGAAAATAGAAAACGCAGTCAATATCCTTCAAACATTGTAAACCATTGGTATTATGAAATTTTGTTTCGAGATAGTCATACTCGTTATTCATCACTAATTAAATTACATTTAATTAATAAACCCGACCCATTACTAAATGCAAAAAAAAATCTATTGTCAATGTCTGTTTCTAAAAATTTGAGGCGAAAATATCAATTGAAATATATTATCATATATTCAAGTTCTCAATCAAAACAAATTATAATTCAAGTGTCTAAAACAAAAATACCGATAAACTTAAAAGTCTGACTATGTTCAACTTAATTATTCATTCCTATCAATTATGTGATGTTACTTAATAAATAACTTTTTAAAAAAGAATAGGGTAAATGCACAAGTACCCCTCAACCTATACCCGAAATTTCAGAGATACACTTATACTATACTAAGGTACTATTACCCCCTGAACTTATTTTATAAGCAATTTTCTACCCCTTTTCGGCCTACATGACACTAGTTTTAAAGAAAAAGTCAAATAACGTTGGGCCAACAAGATAATGTCACGTAGGTCGAAAAGAGGTAGAATTTTTTTAATAAAATAAGTTCAGTGGGGTAATAGGACCTTTGTATAGTATAAGTGTGTCCCTGAGATTTCGGGCATAGGTTGAGGGGATACTTGTGCATTATCCCAAAAGAATATATTGATGTTTTAATATTTAAAACAAATAATAAATATTTATATAATTATATTAAAAAGTGCATGAAGTAATTCGAGATGTACTACTTCTTTACCTTTAATCATAATATTTGAATTCAAGCTTGAAAGAAAATTCTATGGAAAGTGTCTTCCTAAATAAGCGGCTCAACGTAAAATTTTTTGAAGCTTTCAATTCAGATTGAATAATTTTGGATGTCATTTTCAGGAATCTATATTTTGGTCCTGTTTTTGTAGTGTTTAGGG